ATGTTATTTTCACCGAGTAGAGGTCAGCTAAGAACGGATTTTAAGAAATTCAAAAAAATATTTTTTTTTTTTAAATAATGTAAATAGCAAAACAACGTTTGCAGGGTCAGCTAGTTTATTATAATGCTGAAGTGTATGTTTGAGCCCAAAAAAATCAGGAACTACTGGTTCGAATTGACATTTTTTATGATCGAGAGCCCATTTATCAAGAAAGGCTATAAGACATATAACATCAATGAAAAATGATTCCTTTTGAGAGATTCAGACGTAGCTGCGCGTGTCAGCTAGTCTTATATAAGAACTAGTACCCACGACTATTTTTTGCGTGGAATTTGAATTGAAAATGTTTGTTCATTTTTCAAATTTATAGTATCATCATCATCAACATCATTTAGAGTTCACTGCTGGACATAGAACTTTTCTTAGAAAGGTGGTTTTGGCCTACTAAGAATACCGCGCTGGCTAGACGGGCTTTCATCGGGTTTGTTTCCTGCTGATTTCTTACGTTGTTTTGCGCCCTTAGTCGTCTCTTACGACACCCACGGGCTGTTTATGTGTGGTGACACTCCGTATTCTTAATACGTCACCACACGAATTTAAAATATATATTATAACTAGCTGACCCGCGCAACTTCGTCTGCGTCTCTCAATAGTAATAAATTTTATCCGTTTTCGAAACATTCTTCATTGGTGCTCCGCTCCTATTGCTCTTAGCGTGATGATATATAGCCTATAGCCTTCCTCGATAAATGGGCTATCTAACACTGAAAGAATTTTTCAAATCGGACTAGTATTTCCTGAGATTAGCGCGTTCAAACAAACAAACAAAACTCTTCAGCTTTATAATATTAGTATAAATACTAACGAAATCGATTCCTTAGTGGTGTAGGACGCGACTGCAGTCCATTAAACCTCGGATACGATTCCCGAACCGGCCATAATTTTATAGAATTTTTCTCAGTTCAAAAAAGCCAAGTTACTCCTTACATAGACAGCTATCTGGTAGTGAAATATTCCCCAAATCAGTCCAGTCGTTTTGAAGATTACCCGAAACAAACAGACAGAAAGACAAAAAATATTTAAACGGGTTTTTATTCATAGGATCCGTGCAAATAGCCGTGTGAGCATGAAAAACACATTTTAACATTACAAACAGACTTTTAAGCTATTGCATAGCTTCTATCGAGGGCCTTGAGCGCGGGGACCGAATCCGAAATTCCGTAACGAAAAAAAAACCTCACGCTAAAAACAAAAACAAAAAACAGTACCAAATCAAATGCTGACGTCAAAGGAAATTCGTCAACATAATGCAGAAAAATCTTACATGGATATGTAATTTGATTTGATAATAATATTTTTTATTTATTTATTTAAAAACAAATTGTAATATATGCTTCAATATTTTATTTAATAAAAGAAAAAAAAAATGTTTTCTTATCGGTCACCACGCTCAAAAAGTGTAACTTGAATTAATATCAAAGAAAAAGAAATACTGCATAAAATAAAATAAATAAATAATTATAATTGCATAAGTTGATACAAAATGCTATGCAATAGCTTTACCGCGGCAGTCCCCGAGTGCCATAACGTCTTTTTTAAGTTTATTTATTCGTACAAATTAATGCCTGTAGGTTTTTAATTACATACCTACGAATTATATGACGTTTCAATCAGAAGACCCATTCTCGTAATAAAAGTTCGATCAGTATTCAGTTCTGATCGACTCTCGATCACGGTACTGTCATAAAAGGTATTTTCGTAGTCGTATTCCCAAATATCTCTAAACCACTCGGACTATATCTAAACCAAATTTCATCTAAGTCTGTTCAGCGGTGAAGAGGTAACAGAAAGACAGACAGCCACACTTTCGCATTTATAATATTAGTATAGATAGTGACGTGTAGTGTAGTGACGGATTAAGAATACGGAATGTCACTACCCCAATTCATCCCGTGGGTGTCGTAAGAGCCGACTAAGGGCACAAAACAACGTAGGACACCAGCACTGCAAAAAGAAGAAAAACTTGACACAAACCCTATACCAACCCGTCTGGCCAGCGTGGTATAGTAGGCCAAAACATCCTTTCTAATTAGAGGCCTACGTCCAGCAGTGGACTATTAAAAGCTGTTGATGATGATAGATAGTAAGGCTTAGGCCAAAATCTTTAATATAAATTACATTTTTTTCAGTTTAATGTATCAAAACTGATGTATTATCTAAAGGCCACGAGTGTCAACAGTTTTATCAGGCCAATATTTTGGCTTCCAAATGTCCGTAATAGTGTTACACTGATAACGTGTTACACTCGACGACGCGACGTGACGTTCATATCTGTGTATGTGTGTATGTATGAATGAAGTCATCAACAGCCTTTAATATTCCACTGACTCCGTGTGGTGACGGATTAGGAATACAGTGTCACTACCCCCATTCATCCCGTGGGTGTCGTAAGAGCCGACTAAGGGAGAAAACTACGCAGAACAACAGCACTGCAGAGAAAGGAAAACGTGACACAAACCCTATACCAACCCGTCTGGCCAGCGTGGTATAGTAGGCCAAAACCTCCTTTCTAAAGAGAGGCTTCTGTCCAGCAGTGGATTATTAAAAACTGTTGATATGATGTGATGTGACACAGACCTCTCCTTAAAAAGGAGGTTTGAGGTCGGAGGTTTTGCCAGCGACTCCGTCTGCGTGCTAGCCGACATCAGATGTCGTAGAGGATACGCTAATTCTCAACAGTATCGAAGTTTCATATAAATTTCCAACCTCCATTTTGAACCTTTAGGGGTGATATTTTTAAAAATCCTTTCTTAGTGCACACCTACGTTACCTAAGGAACATTTGGGCAAAATTTGATGCTTCTAGACCCAGCGGTTTCAGCTTTACGTTGATTCATCAGTCAGTGTATCAGTCTGTCAGTTTCTTCTTTTATAGATATAGATTAGCTGCTGTACTCTGCCCGATCGCTGTGGACATACAGAACAGCCCTTTCTGTGCTCCACAATTTGTTGTCCTGAGTCTTTGTTCTTTATGTCTTTCTTTTTTTTTTTTTTTTAAAAAGACAACTCCCGCATTAGGAATAAATCCTGTGTCGCGGGGGACTTTACAAACATACATGAAACGGACACAAAGAACACCCAGACTCAGAACAACAATTTGTGGATCACACAAAGTGTTGTCCCATGTGGGGTTTGAACCCACAACACTCGGCGTAGTAGGAAGCGGCGTGGCGACCGCTTAAACCACTACGCCATCCGTGCATGTCTATTTCCTGTATGTTTGTAAAGTCGCATGCTTCATGTAATGTCACGTAACGAAATGTAATATAAGTAATGTTAAACTATGTGATGTAAGTGCCAAGGTTCCTGAAAATAGCAGTTCCAAGACAAAGTGTTTGACACGATCCGGCTCGAAGGACCAAATATACGGGTGAGGACCGGCAACCGTGGTACACCAGCCAGCACTCGTACGTTTAACACCGAAAGCCTATCTAAGATTACAACCTACGTGTATCGAGCGGGCACCGTAGTTAACCAAACAATACTCGTACGTAAATTTCATAGCCCTACCAATATGTGACCCTGCGCTGAGGGTATATATACATATATAGATAGTGCGGGAAGCCTGTTAACGGGAGCTCTACGGTAACAGACGGAAAGAGACGGGAACAGGGTTTAGGATATTATTTTCTCACTTCCAGCAGGCTCACAAGACCGATCTACTGACGGCTAAAGGTGACTTGGCCGCAGTGAGAGGTGGGACAGAGTAATGAGTCAAAGTCGGATTAGACAAAATGACTGATTTATTTACACAATAAGACATCTTATATACTAAACTTACCCTAAGTACACATGGATGGCTATTTGCTTGTGTGCCATCCGTGTGTTGTGTTGATGCAGCTGCCTTAATCTCGTTCATGCCGAAACGTTGAAAGTGCATCGATTTTACGCCGCACTGCGTGTGACATAGATGCTGTAGCTGGGTGATGCAATAAGGTTCATGATTGAACAGTAATGTAATCTAATGTTATGTAGCCCAACACTATGTGTTGTTATGCAATGTAATATAATGTAATGTTATGTAAAATTTTAGCCAAAACCTTGAAATGGATAACTATATCACTTCGTAGACGAAGTCAACAACACAAGGAAGTAACCAATCACGTACTAAATTATTAATATTCTATCTAATCTGTGATACCACGGAATTTTTTAATAATCTCAGTGTAATTAATCTAAAATAGTACGGATTTCAAAGAAATTTTCCAATATATTAGGACAACTGTATCTTGATATTGTGATTAGTACTATAGTATTATTAAACACTAGCTGACCCGCGCAACTTCGTCTGCGTCTCTCAAGTAATAAATTTTCTCCGTTTTTGAAACGTTCTTCATTGGTGCTCCGCTCCTATTGCTCTTAGCGTGATGATATATAGCCTATAGCCTTCCTCGATAAATGGGCTATCTAACACTGAAAGAATTTTTCAAATCGGACCAGTAGTTCCTGAGATTAGCGCGTCCAAACAAACAAACAAACTCTTCAGCTTTTTAATATTAGTATAGATTACTTCAATACACTTATAGTGATAAATCATATGAAAGTATACCCTAGAGTAGGTATTGTTCATAACTTCGCTTGCAAGACCTTACTATTAAAAAACTGTTGCGTTTTCCTGTCATTTTATTCAAACTCATACCTAATAATAATAATAACTGGACACATCTCGCAGACAGAGCCTGTGCTATGGTAACCAGACTGCTGATAAACATACTTATATATTTCTAAAGACATACAGATTATAGATGCAATTTGTCCCATTACTGTATTATATTGTAAAGGAGTATACATGTATATATTATAGATGAATTACATCTAGATACAGAACAAATGACCGTGTTAACACATTTATTTGTTCTGGATGGGAATCGTACCAATAATATATTTATCACTAATCTTTCTGTCTTCAGTTATTATCACCGTTGAGCTGCAGAAGACACCATGTTGTTGGATGAAGTGATGCCCACGATGCGGAGTCTCAGTCCTGATGCTGAAGATATGAGTTCTCATCCTAAGAAGCCCAGGAATATCCAGGTACGTAGTGACGTCTGCAATTGATTCGCCGTTTCCCGCCTTTTGCTCGATCTGTCATCTTATTTTTTTTTTCGGCTCGACCGGAGAGATGCGACGGCCTAACAGAAAACCGCTATTACGTGAATGTTTTGTGGCATTTGACCGAGTGAGTGAGTGAGTTGGTGAGTGACAGTAGTCACTTACCATAGCCATAAATCCAAATCCAAATCCCGCTCGAGTCAGTGGGAGGGACTCCAAGGGCGGCAACGCACTTGTGACTTTTGAGTTGCAGGTGTCCATGGGCACCGATAGTTGCTTACTATCAGGTGAAATGTCTGCTCGTTTGCCCCTTTTTACCATAAAAAAAAGAAATTATGGTTTAAAAAACCGGACAAGTCCGTGTCGGACTCGCCCACCGAGGGTTCCGCACAAATTTGTAGGTACAGAAATGCTATACATTTGTTTACTTATCTACAAAATGGTACGGAACCCAAATTTCCAGATTTTTCCATAAACTTGTACCTAGTATAAGTTTTGCCAAATTCCGTAGTTCTTTTTCAACGGGCAGTACCCTATGAATTTTGATTCCTTTGAGATTGTCAAAATATACGTTTTTACAACATACTCAACTCAACTCGATACCTCCACGAGTTCCCGAGATTAAGGTTCTTGACAGACAGACATACGGACGGACGGACAACAAAGTGATCCTATAAAGGTTCCGTTTTCCTTTGAGGTACAGCACCCTAAAAACAAAAAACACGCTTTAGTCCAAATTAAAAAGTAGGAAATATTGTCCATACGAACGATTTAGATGAAATTTGGTGTAGAGATAGTTTGGGTTCCGGAAAAGGACATCCAGAAACTAGTTTGAATGAGTAACCGCTAAACCTGATTTATATGAAATTTGTCAAACTCAAAGTCAAAGTAAAAGTTTTTATTGCGTTCATGTATACATAAGGTGTTAATTACAATTTTGGTTCTAAAGACATGAAACTCTGCTAGGGCACAGCAATTTTGTTGGTATTAGGCGTTATTATGTATGTCATTAAATTAAAATATTTATACACTAAATTAAATTACCAATTACATCTATTATTATGTAACAATAACGTAACACTAATTATATTTTTACATATTTCCTATAAATTCAATATATAAATTTAGTTCTATATAATACTAGCTGACCCGGCAAACGTTGTATTGCAAAACAAAAAAAATTAGGGATGGGTCACCCTTACCATTTAGGGGTATGAAAAATAGATGTTGGCCGATTCTCAGACCTACCCGATGTGCACACAAAATTTCATGAGAATCGGTCAAGCCGTTTCGGAGGAGTACGGGAACGAACATTGTGACACGAGAATTTTATATATAAGATTAGTTTTAGATTAGTTTAGAGACATATTTCAAGAATGTAAAGGGATGTGAGTATCAGTATACCATATTCAATGAAATGTAGTCAACAGCTTGCCATGCCATCTATGTTTGATAGAATCCGAATGCACTTTCTTTGAAGTTTGAAATTTTTGTTTGAAATTTGGTATGGATATAGTTTGATTCTTGAGGAAGAACATAAGTTATAATAACTGTGATAACCGAGATACACGCGGCCGGCGCCGCGGGCGAAATCTTCTTTTCTATAAGTTCAAAAAGTAAAATCATTTTAGCGTAAAAATGCGTCGGGTGCTAGATCTCAATTGTTGTAAAAATATTTTATTGACAGATATTGTTAAAAAAGTAAAGTTATTTATTGGAACGAAGTTCCTTATCGCGCGTTGTGAAAGGGGGCTAGACGGAAAAAATTCGTACGAAATTTTGGAACGACACTTTTTTATTAATATAAATTGACGTCTAACTGTGGATACCATACATTAAATTTGCTTTAACGTTCGCCAACGTCCATACCATGTTGAATACACCGGTTCTCGTCCGATCACCGAAGTTAAGCAACATCGGGCGTGGTTAGTACTTGGATGGGTGACCGCCTGGGAATACCACGTGATGTTGGCTTTTTGCTCTTTATTTTCGTGTCATCTTGTCAGACATTCAGCGCCATCTATCGAATAGATAGGAAATCATTTCGCAAGGAGATTTTACCAATGTATAAATTGTTTTAATTGTTTTTAATATGTAGGTAATAGCCGCTTTCATAGATGGCGTTGTAATTAAAATCGTGTCGAATCAGTTTTACTCGATCGTCACAACTTCGTTCCTATCGGGTGTCCCACGACACCACACGGCTTTTTATATCTTGAAAACACAGCATTATTTCCTACTTTTTGTTTCGGCTAGCCTATCGAAAGCGTAACTCAACTCACCTCATAAGTTTATCATATCGTTTCAGCACACGCCTTAGTACCTACGAGGCAAAACTCACCACCGTATTTTTAGGTATGGAAAAAGCCTGAAGGTCCTGATCTATCCTGATCAGATGGGACCAACTATTTGAATTATTGCATACACTTTAAAGAAAAACTTATTGTTGAATAATTATCGGTGTGGTGACAGATTAAGAATAGTGTCACCACCCCTATTAACTGACTGCCTCGGTGGCGCAGTGGTAGCGTATGCGACTGCCGTGCTGAGGTCTCGGGTTCGATTCCGGGTCGGACTAAATGTTTGTATGATCTACAAATATTTGTTTCGGAGTTTGGGTGTTTCCTTTGTACAATATGTATGTATTTACAAAAAAAAAATATAAGTATTCTATCAGTCAATCTAGCTTTCATAGTACAAGCTCTGCTTAGTTTGAATCTAGATAGCGTTGTGTGTTAGATGTCCAAATATTAGTATTAAATATTATATTATTCATCCCGTGGGTGTCGTAAGAGCCGACTAAGGGAACAAACTCTGCAGGACAACTCTGCACTGCAAAAAGAAGAAAAACTGAATTGGTATAGGGTTTGTTTCAACAAACCCTGGAACAAACCCTATACCAACCCGTCTAGCCAGCGTGGTATAGTAGGCCAAAACCTCCTTTCCAAGGAGAGGCCTATGTCCAGCACTGGACTATAAAAGGCTGTGGATGATGTTGATGATGATACAATTTAATTAGACGTTTTGAAGTAGGTCAAAATCCGAAGATTCCGTAAAAGCGTGTTTAAATGTTGCCATATGTTATACTTATTTTAAAAGAAACTTCAATGGACCGCACGGTTATGCAATGTTTATTTAAAAATAACGGTTTTATTTTTTACATAATATCTGCTTGATAAGATTACTTGATTACATACTCGATTTCATCTACCTACACATAACGATACGGTGTTTTCAGTCTGATAAAAATATTTATCTGCGATACACAGGAACTCAGGTACAAAAGAACGTACATGACACGTGAACACACAAACGTACAGTGGCGACTGCTGTGCTGAGATCTAGGGTTCGATTTCTGGGTCAAACATAATGTTTGTACGATCTGCAAATATTTATTTCGGAATTTGAGTGTTTCTATGTATAATATGTATGTATTTACAAAAGAAAGTATATATGTATTCTATCAGTCAATCTAGCTTTCATAGTACAAGCTCTGTTTAGTTTGAAACTAGATGGCGTTGTGTGTCAGATGTCCGAAATATTTTTATTTTTATTACATAAATAGGACTAACAAAACAATTACAAAACAACCCTCCGTGCCTCAAACAATCCCTGCATTTGCATGCATTCTGCATTCAATATTAATATTATTATTGCCGTAAACCGGCTAGTTGAGATTGAAATTGTTTTTTTTTATGCCACCACCTCTAGGAGTTCGGTTTAGTGAATGAATTTACCGGAGGCTCTAAGCCCCATTTGGGTTTAGGGCCTGAAGTGACCTCATTCACTCGGTGTAAAGTTACGAAAGAATTACTTAGCAACGGTTTCATGTGAAGCTGTGTTCTATTCCGGTCGAGATAAGCCATATATGCCGAAATAAGGGATTAGGGAGTAAACAATTCGTCGTTCGTCGTTTACCTGTAAGTCCTGCAACTCGAATTGAAATCGAATATTTGAGCCCCCTAACTGCCTAAGTTCGTGTGGTGACGGATTCAAAATACGGAGTGTCACCACCCTTATTCATCCCATGGCGTCGTAAGAGCAGACTAAGGAAGCAATCTACGCAGGATAACAGCACTGTGAAAAGAAGGAAAACTTGAAACAAACCCTTTATCAACCTGTCTGGCCAGTGTGGTATAGTAAACCAAGCCAAAACCTCTTTTCTAAGGAGAGGCATATGTCCGGCAGAGGACTAGTAAACGCTGTTGATGTGATGTGAAACGCCTAAAGAATTCTATTCATAAATGTATTGTATATTTTAAACAGATGTTAGAAATATTACCAGAAGAGTACCTAACTAACTAAAAATTCTCTATTGTTCCAGGAGTTCAAGGGTTTATTTGAGAGGAAGATTCAGCTAGACAACGTGCTATCCGACTCTATCACCGATTTGAATCCTGATCAAGAAACCATCGAATGTATTGAAAAGAAACTTTGTGTGCCGGTAAGTCAGTATTCTTAAGAATTATTTCTTTATATCTACGACTTTGTCATACACCGCTACAGCATATATTTTGTGTCTTACAAGTGATTATGACACTTGCATATGTTAAATACACACAACGCCATCTAGCGGAAATGTGCTGAACTACTACAAAACTACAGGGGCTTGAGTCGCGCTGTGAAAAGTTTTTGATCTTAAGAAAACAAAATTATTGCTTTTTATTTGGATATATTAAAATAATTCAGTACTTGCGTTTTTTTACCTCCTAATGTAATTCAGTTTCGGACCTCACAGGAACCCTATATTAAAGAGTGATGGTTTTGGTAATTTCTTTCTTTTATTGTGACTACCGTAATGGTGACTTCCGTAACAGAACGTCAATGAAACCAATTTATTGTTTTTTATTTGGATATGTTAAAATTATTCAATACTTGTTTTTTTTTATCTGCTAATGTAATTCAGTTTCGGACCTCACAGGAAAATTATATATAATGGTTTTGGTAACTTCTTTCTTTTCTTGTGGCTACTAATGTAATGGTGTCAGATTTTATTCCAAGACAAGGAAACGTACGCATGCTTACTTGACCCATGTTCGGTAACAGGAGGGAGGGCTTATACCTCCGAAAATGTTGAAGGGGGAGAGAAGTTTGTCCTCCGCTAACCTCACTCACTCGATGAAAACAACGAAACAAATATTTAACACCGGTTTTCTGTTAAGCCGTGAAATCACTAGGGCCGAGGCAGTATTTGGGCGGCTATAGTCACTTACCATCAGATGACCCTTGTGTTCGTTTATCCGCTGTTTCTAATAGTAAGACTTCTAGGCCACAAAGACAAAGAAAGGCCCTCAGATCCCGAAGATCCCGTTGTTCCCGCCCAAAGGCTAAGATCTCATAAAAAAGTTAGGATGGAACTTTGCGTAGAATGAAGTGAGGCCAGTTTTATAAACATGTGTGTAATTGGTACATATTGGTACGTATTTGGGACATATTATGTGTACTTTGGCAGTCATAATTTTATTTTAATTTTATTATTATGTGTGAAATGCGTCCATCCTACTATCTATCTCTTGTAGTTTGATTTTGACACCCTTTCACGACACAATAAATATTGTTGACATTTTTGATGACATTTCGACTGACAAGGCGTAGTTTCGTTGTACATATAATTATTGTTGTGTGTACACGTCAAGGCGTAGTTTTAATTAGCATCACTTTTTTCACAGAGGGATCTTAACTTTGATCTGAGTCTAAACGTATATTTTTTTTGTTTTCTTTTTTTCCTTTACCACTTATGTGTTGATAATTTTGATTTTTTCATAAAAAATTACTATGCTTATGCATGCATAAGTGGTATCAGACTTTTTTGACCCCAGACGGATGTCCTTGATTAAAGTTAAACGTAACTTATAGATGACCCCTGGCAAGAAAATAAAATCACAACAATCAAATTTTGTTGTTTTTAAGATATTTACAATGAATTTTTGTATCGGTTATTGACGTGACAACGTCTTATAAATTGGTTTGCCGGGTGACACTTCAAGAAACTGCGTTACGCTCCGCTCACGTTATGCGCTCACAATGAGAGCGAGTGAGAGGCACGCGTCGTTAATATGAAATTCAGTGCGAGATTCTTTGTATAAATTAATGTTTTAAATATAATTCTTTGTATAAATAAATGTTTTAAATTGTTACTATTATTTCATCCTTCTTCCTACTATACGAATGAATATTCACATTAAAATTATTTTACCACTCAAAGTCGTTGTCACGTAAAACTTTCGCCCGTATACCGACTTTACAGGCAACCAATTTTTTTGATATCATTTAGAAATTTTAAAAAAACGGTGACGGTGAATACAGAGTGTCACCACCCCTATTTATTCTGTGGGTGTCGTAAGAGCTGACTAAGGGAGCAAACTACGCCGGACAACAGCACTACCAAGAGAAGGAAAACTTGAAACAAACTTTGTACCAAACTGTATAGCCAGCGTGGTATCGCAGGCCAAAACCTCATTTTTAAAGAAGAGGCCTATGTCTAGCAGTGGACTAGTAAAGGCTATGATGATAATATAAAAAAAATGAAAGGCTAAAACAAACTCAAAATTTATTAGGATGAAATAAAAATTAAACTAGATTTGTCTATGGCAGCGCCATCTTGTAAACTTCACAGTCATAGTCCTTACGCTACATTGATTTTTTGCAGAGCAAGCGATTTTCAGTCAAGACTGGACTTCCGTTATTAAATAATTACAGTTTATTGTTATAACCAGAAGCTATTCTAATACGACAACACTTAACAACCATTGATTTATTTAAGGCTGAAAGCTTTTCAACCTCTTTAAATAAAATAGAAAAAATATTATTAGGAACCGGTGTGTACACAGAACAGAACGGCGCCAATAATGAATGGCGCATGAATTCACTCATCTGAGTCTACAACGATAAGAACGATACACAAATACTTGATCAACCTGACCACAACAGATGCCCCAAAGGCCAAACAGTCATTATGACTTAAGCTGGATGACGAAGTCGAATGATGTAATGGCCTAAATATTGTGCAATACACTTTAATCAAAGTTACGAATATTGGACAATAGATGACACTACTTCATTTTGTTTAGAAATCTTAGTTACATTTTGATTATAATTGTTTATTCATCAACAGCCCCTAACAGTCCTTATAATGGAGGTTTTGGCCTTGTATACTATGCTAGCCAGACGGGTTGGTATAGGTTGGTTTCAAGTGGTCCGGATGTCTTATTATCAGCTGTTCCCAGATCCCTCCTGTTACAGGCGCAGAGTGGCACACCGTGTGGTTTTAGTCGGTCCGAGTCCGACACACCACCCCGCCGCAAACCCCGGTGGGGTGACGGTCCGAGGGGATTTCCACACGTTAAAAAAAAAAGGTTGGTTTCAAGTATTTTTTTTTGCAGTGCTGTTGTCTACGTACTTTGTTCCCTTAGACGGCTTTTACGACACCCACGGGATAAATAGGGGTGGTAACAGTCTGTATTCTTAATCCGTCACCACACGGATAGTTATTTAATAATAATATTAAATTCTATATAAAGTTATTGTAGATATTAATATTGGTTGAAATTATAGAATAAAAAGTGCCTTCCTTTATCGTATTATGTCGTAGTAAAACAATAATTATCAAAAAAATCATTACATTTGTAAAGTTTACGCAAACGGCAAGCGCCAAGCTTCGTCTATTCTATTTTAGGTTACTGTGAAAAGATAAATTTACTTTAGCGAAAGAACTACTCAAATAAATTAAACAAACATTTGTCATAAACACAAGTATGTGATTTAGTCTTAAGCAATACTATGATTATACAAGAAATTTTAGCACCTCATTCTATAGGATATATCCTAGGATCTACCTTTCGAAATTAACATATCTTTAATGATAAGACTGCGCCAGGAGGAAGGTTTTGTAATTCTGTTTTTCGAATGTTTGTATATAATGTACTCCATAGTCCTAACGGCTTGATTGATTTTAGATTAAGAAGTGTCGTTAGCTTCGTTTTATTGTGAGAGTGATACTGGGATTTAAAAAAAAATTAAAAAATTAACTCGCCGGCATATTTTTACGCATGGGTTTTTGTTGTTGTTTTTAATAATTAGCTTGTTTTACTTGGGTCGTTTGTAGGTATTGCATGGGTATTGCATAATATTAGCACTCAAAATACCTATATAATGTGTCAGATAGCTATCAGCAAGTTGTCGTCTTCCGTGTGGTTACCATAAATACGGAGTGTCATCACCTCTATTCATCCCGTGGGAGTCGTAAGAGCTGACTAAAGGAGCAAACAACGCAGGACAACATCACTGAAAAGAGAGAAAACTTGACACAAACCCTATAGCAACTCGTCTGGCCAGGGTGGCATAGTAGGCCAACATCTCTTTTCTAAGGAGAGGCCTATGTCCAGCAGTGGCCTAGCAATGGCTGTTGATGATGATGAAGCTATCGTCATGGGACACATGACCTACTTGGATTATTTTTTTCAGGAGATTATGTTACTATTGATTATTATCAAAGGAAGATGTCTGATGTTACGTATCATTTTATGCTACTACTGTAAGATTCGCTATTTTTTTTAATTTTGACATAAACATGCGCAAAATTCCGTAGAAGCGTCATCTAGTATCCAGTGGTGCACAACATATTGTTAATACAAGAATTATCCGCACTAAACGTACAAACAACATCCTGCTTTGAATGTATTATTTATTTCTATGTTCACTGTTTTCCGATGTGCATATTGTATAAGGTAGAATATACTCAAATAGATGACTTAATTATGTAACTGTCACACAAATCATTATAATAAATTAAGTATAATATAATTATGCATATATATTCAATCTGTCAGTTTATAAATGTAAATACAATGAACCAGAGGTCATTAAACAAGACTGCGATAAATACCTACCTGATTATATTTTTTATTTATTAGAATAATGAGTGATAAACTAATATAGCTATGTATATATATTAGTTTAAAATATCTAAAACATATACATTGTTTTTTTTTCATGATTCATTCTAGTTTTAGTCTGTTGTTGCCGCCATCTAGTGGCTAAGCATTTCAACATCTCAAATTTTGTACTACTATTTAGATAGAGGTGACGCCACAATCGCCATTATACTTAAATTTAATCAACATTTAGCACTAATTCTAAACATGTTGAACAAAGATAAAGCCAGTTTTTAAGTACGAAATAAACAATAATGTAGGTACATATTTGTATCCGTAATATTTATTTAAAACTTAGTCAGATTGCACTTCTTTGTCTTATCTATAGCTCCGTCCCGCTCTAAATGTCTACATGACGTGTGATATTCAAGCTGTCAAGCTGTCTTCGATCGTGACGAAGTCAGTCACAGAATGATTTCGTTGTCGTATGATCTTGTTATTTGATGTTGTTTGTCTAAATATCGTATAAAATTACCTTCATTTTGTGTTTTATGTGAATAACTCAAACAAAACTGCGATTTTAGTGTGTACTTATTTAACAATTGTGTATTACGTGTGATATAAGCGGTGAAAAGTGTAACGTTATAAAACAGTAAACCTTGCTGTTTTCCAAGTGCTTTTACCTGTTTTCGTGGATTATCTTCCGTTATTGAAGGTAACGAAGCGCATCGAACGTTTGCTACAGCAGTCTTATTAAAGAAACTACTTAAAAATATTTTTAACCTAATGTAACTTTCAAACTTTGGAGGTTATTATATATTTTTAAAGAACAATAAACACAGTCCTTTGGTTGGTAGGTACGTAAATGACAACAACCTATTACTATACTCTATTGGATTTATCCGATTACAGATTACATTCCTATCTCTATAGAATTTTCAAGAAAATAAAATGTACAGATTTATTTTTCGTGCTTAACCATCACAGAAGTGATATAAATACTGTTTACGTGTTAATGATATCTTCATAATGCTCAAATAAAATCAATTTTATTTAGATTCTTGTAAGTTTTCACTGTATATAAAAAATATTAAATTCTAATTGTCACTTATTGGAATCTATTAAAGTAAATTTAAAGTAGTTTAGTTTTTTATTATAAAATTTACAGTAGTTAGTAAGTCTATATAAAAAAAAAAAAAAAACACCATAAATTTTCCACTATTTACGTCAGTATAACAACATATATTTACTCTTTAAAGTTTTTCATTTATGTTTAAAATTAAAGTTTGTTTATTGATATATTTTTGAGTAATGGTCATTACTACCAAAATGTTTTTATACATTCAAATGTTCTCTTTCTCTCTCTGGTATATCCAAAAACCACATACACTACATACTTTACTTTACACTACATACTTTACTTTACACTACATACTTTACTTTACACTACATACTTTACTTTTAAAAGGGGTGTGAATCATAAATAATAAATTAGGTTATAATCTATCAACACAATTAATTCATAATCAATAATATTGTATGACACACAGCACTATTGAGGTCACAATTAAGCATGCATGCATTATAAGTTCTACAACATAGACAAATATTCTCTGTTACTTTTTTCATAAATTTAATAAGTATATATAATAGTCCCCCACATTCACACAACGCCATCTAGTCCCAATCTTGTAGCAGAGCTTCTACTATGGAACTGATAGAATACTTATATACTGTTTTTGTAATTACATACATATTTCTTCTGCGGTATTTCTGGACCGATACAACCTTTAAACTTTCAAGAAGAGAGCGTACTCCTTCCTAAAAGGGTGGCAACGCGTTTGTGACTCCTGAGTTGCAGACATTCATGTGTGGTGATGGTCACTTTCCATTAGGTGAACCGTCTGTCATCTGCCCCCTCTAACATAAAAAAATTTAATTATACATAGAAACACACAGACCAATTCAAACATTACATATTTATTTTTGTTTTCTTTTTCTTCATTCACACAAATGTTTCATTTAAGCTGGAATGGAAACCGCAACCAGACCTTTTTGAATAAATATAAGTATATTTCTACTTTTTATCAATTATTTTGGCTATTTCATGTACTTATTGACATATTATTATTAATCAAACCTATAAAATTGAAATTGCACTGTAATATAACATTTATAGTTCTGTAATCTCAGTGTGTATATGTAAAACTTTCTACACATAACAAACATAAAAAAAAAAAAAAAAATACAGTCGAATTGAGAACCTCCTCCTTTTCTGGAAGTCGGTTAAAAAAAGTATACAATGGCAAACCTATGCCATAGACATTCTATGCAAGTTGGCCTTAGAGTGGTGTAGAAATGAGTGATTAGATGCATTAAACTAAAATATAGAATTCTAAAGTAAATAATAAAACTATATATTAAGAAATGAACCTGTTGGTTTAGTGGTAAATAAGCAGATTTAAATATTGTACCATTTCTTTACGACCATGCCCCCACGGAGGGTTCTCAAGAAGAATTTATTTAAGTAAGTGGATTTTGTACCAGGCGATTACAAATTACCAACACACTTAAATAAAAATAAATATTAAGCACATTGGTTCTAGGTGGGAACCTACAACTTCTAGCAGTACTCTGACTTACCGTTCAGGTTTGTTGACCACTTGATTGACTACAGGCCTGTCAAAATGTCACACACATGCAAGTATGAAATACATACTAGAGGCTGATATGCTACAATCCTTGCATATTTTAAAACTAGCTGGTACCCACAACTTTGTTCGCATGGAATTTGAGGAGCCCTACCTTAGTGGGTTCAAATTTTTAAGAGGGTTTTTTGAAAGAAAAAATAGCCTAAGTTACTTCTTATATAGATATTTACCTGGTAGTAAAATAATATCAAAATTGGTCCAGCTGTTTGAAAGATTACCTGGAACAAACAACAACAAACAAACTGGTTTTTAGCCATAGGTATCGTGCCAATAGCCGTGTGAGCTTGAAAAAA